TATCTATCTATCTATCTATCTATCTATCTATCTATCTATCTATCTATATGAGTGCGAGGTGGGAGGGACAGAGAGAGAATCTGAAGCAGATCCCACATGGGCTCAATCTTACGGGTGAGATCATGACCTGAGCTGAAATCTAGTTGGATGTGTAACCAACTGAGCCACCCAGGTGCCCCTGCTGCCCCATTATTTAAAAAAAAAAAATATTCCAGGGATTAATCAAAGTAAATAAATGAAGATGCAATTACCAACATATTTATTACCTAGTTGTGGCTAAGGTTTTCCTCTTTACCTGTTGTGCTAAAAAATACCAAACAGCTGAGTCTTGTTCACCTAGGGTAACAATCAAGAAACTTTGAGACAGTTGACACCATAATGCTTTGTTTTTCTGATGGCTGGTTTTTTTTTTTTAATATTTTTTTCAACGTTTATTTATTATTGGGACAGAGAGAGACAGAGCATGAACGGGGGAGGGGCAGAGAGAGAGGGAGACACAGAATCGGAAACAGGCTCCAGGCTCTGAGCCATCAGCCCAGAGCCCGACGCGGGGCTCGAACTCCCGGACCGCGAGATCGTGACCTGGCTGAAGTCGGACGCTTAACCGACTGCGCCACCCAGGCGCCCCTCTGATGGCTGTTTTTAAACTGAGCTAAGGTAACGCCCCAGTTAAAGCCCAGGAAACTCCTTTGTTATGTTAGAAACCTTACAGGAAAGGAAAGCTGAAAGTCAAGAGCGGAAGAGGCAGGAACAGAATGAGGTGGTGGGAAGGGTGTGTGTAACTCTTTGTATCCACACAGTATAGAAAACCTAACGAAATCCAAGTGGCAGCGTTAATGTTCTCAGAAACACTTAAAGGTGACTAATCGTGTGTGTGCTAGGACAATTTATTTTCTCCTAAGTACTAATAGACAGCAATAGGCAAGGAATAGAACATTTTCTGTGGGGTCAAAGACAAAACAAAAACAAAAAGCCAACCTGGCAGAATGGAGAGGAAAGTGTTGCAGTCTGATCTTACCTTGACCCCAAGCACCTGATAGCCTCGCACCTACACAGAGGCACAGCCAGGATAGATGTGACGCAAACCCCCGACTACTGTTTGCCATAAAAAGTTAGGTCATGATGAATGTTTCCAGGGTTGCCGTCCCACACACTTTCTCGCTTTCACCAAGTTTTACCAGTTCTAAGTTCCATTTATGATTGGCTCACGATTCTCTCTTCAAACTGTGCTATTGTACTAGTTTCCCACGTGTCTTCCCTGCAAACCCCACGGAACGCTGCTAACCAGAAGCTCATCATCAAAGAGGTGAGCTCCCTCTGTGCACATCACCAGGGACAACAAAGCATTTCTAGCTTTTCAAAAGAAAAGATAACACATCTGCAGCATTGAAATAATACGGTATTCAAATCTAGAACCTAAAAATAGTATTTCCAAAGCTAATTCTATTTCTGTCTTTCTACATGAGATATACAGGGAAATTATTTCCGTCAGGAAGAAGAAAAGTGAAAGAGTAAATATATATTTTTTAATATTTATCTCTGAGACAAAGAGAGAGAGTGAGAGAGAGAGAATGGTGGCAGGTGCAGAGAGAGAGGGAGACAGAGGATCCGAGGCGGGCTCTGTGCAGAGCCTGACATGGGGCTTGAACTCACAAACCATGAGATCATGATCTGAGCCCAAGTCAGACCCTCAACCGAGCCACCCAGATGCCCCGAAAAAATACTTTTTAAAAACATAAGTGGGTTGTTTTTATCAGCTAAACTCCTAATTTGCTGGGGAATGATAGGTCATAAAGACTTCCCATTTTTCTTTTTTTTTTTTTACATTTTTTTTAACGTTTATTCATTTTTGAGACAGAGAGAGACAGAGCATGAACGGGGGAGGGTCAGAGACAGAGGGAGACACAGAACCCGAAACAGGCTCCAGGCTCTGAGCGGTCAGCACAGAGCCCGACGCGGGGCTTGAACTCACGGACCACGAGATCATGACCTGAGCTGAAGTCAGACGCTTAACTGACTGAGCCACCCAGGCACCCCAGACTTCCCATTTTTCTGCTGGTAGCACCTGGCTGCCTAAAATGTGAACAGATAGCCACCACACAAAACAGGGGTCCCACCTTAACATAAACATTCTGCAAGTTTGAATCTGGCATCCTTTCCCTGTTCCAAGGCTCAATGTTAGGTTTACACAAATCCCCATACCTCATGAGAACCGTCAAAAGTTAAGATTTTCTCTTCTGGTCTGTGAGTGTAAAGCTGTAGGATTATTTCTCTCTTAGTTTACAAGTTCCCATTAGTCGCTGCTAATTCCAGATTTCAGACTTTCATTTGTAAAGACTCTGATCTGGTGGGCTAGTGTCCCATGAAAAGGAGGTATTTGCAGAATGACCTCCAAAAGCCAAAGCCACCATGAGACCGAAGAAAAAGGCCGCCAAGTCCAGCTTGACAAGAAATGGTTTATTGAGGGGACTTAGGGACAGACTCATATCTTGGGAAGCTGCAAGATAAGCAGAGGTTCACAACCCCACCTCCTGTAAAACTGCTTTTTACAGCCCTGGTGGCTGGGGGGAATCATCCAGAAGGAAATGTTTAAGCATCGTGGTCCCATCTCCAGAGCAGATCAAGGATGTTTTGCCCCAAGGATGTACTTTAAGGTGTGACTATAAAAAAGTGTGTGTGTGTGTGTGTGTTGGCGGGGGTGGGGAGGGGGCTGGGGCTGTGTTCCAGAAGTCTTCAGGTCACACACAGGTCCTCAAGGCAGATCGGTTCAAGATGCCGTTAGGTTCTCACAGCTCGAGCTGAGGGTGTTTGTGAAGAGGTTCTCCAGGCAATTATACAGGCCAGGTCTGAGAACAAGTGACCTGAAAGCATTCTGAAAACTATAGGTTTCTAGCCCTAAGTAAGTTATAAAGAACACTGCATATTACGATGAGTGCAGAAAAAGATCAGAGCAGATATACTACGCTTTGAGAAGAATATTGTACATACAGGTTTAAGAATGACTCCCGATGTAAAAGATGATGATTTTGAAGGAAAAGATGATGCTAGAAAGGCACATGTGCACCTCTCTTGTTGTCAGATAGTTGACTGAATACTGACGAAAACAATACCAAGCTAGATGCCATTTTAGTGCCTATTTCTTTTGTTGTTGTTGTTGTTGTTGTTTATTTTTGAGAGAGAGAGAAAGAGCAAGCAGGGGAGGGGTAGCAAGAGGGGGAGACACTGAATCCGAAGCAGGCTCCAGGCTCTGAGCTGTCAGCAGAGAGCCCGACGTGGGGTTCGAACTCATGAACTGTGAGATGATGACCTGAGTCACAGTCAGATGCTCATCCGAGATACCCAGGCACTCCATTGCCTGTTTCTAAGTACCATCACCAACCTCTACACATGAGATTTGTAACACCATAGTATCAATCAAGTGCCAGAAAACATTTTCAGAACAAATTATCATACTAGATATCAGTAGCTAAAAGATCAGAGATTTTTCTGGAGAAAAAACTTCACACGCTAAGAACTCCATCAGAGGGGGGAAAGGAAAAGGAAAAGAAAAAGAAAAAAAATTAACACAGTTGCTCATCAGAAGACTGCCCAATATTTTCGAATACATGCAAAAATCAACTTTATTATTAACAGCATTGTTTCCTCTTCCACTCAGTAGGGAGCATTATGTAAAACCGATAATCAGTGATAAGAGACCCATCACTGTAAGGTAATGAAAGTGAATCAGGACTAATCATGCTGTGATTCATTGTTAGGTTGTTCTTAGGGTCTAAAAACTTGGGTATTCTAATTACTGTAAGTATCCAAACACCCATTAGTCCTTTTGGCCTCAATATGTCACTATGGAAATTAATCCCCAAAGTTGCAATGTCTTGAAACACTGAGCAGAGATCCAAGTATCACTTAAAATTTAAACATACAGAAAATACACACACACACACACACACATTCATGTTCAGGGCATATACAAAGCTTAGATAAAAAGATCATCAAAAACGTTTCCGATGTAGAAACCGCAAGTGCTAATTCAGCGCACGTTTATTTTTGCGCTTCTCTTACACAGACAAGGTAGGATACACGAGGCACGTGAGCTGAGGACGGTGCGTGACCTCTTCAGCCTTTGTTTCTTTCTTCTTTAAACAGAGATGGTGACAGACGAGAAGGATTAGATGCAGTCTACTTTTTCTTCACTCGGCTGAGTTTTTAGAGAATTATAAACCATGAAACTAAACTGAGTAAAGGTTGCAAGTTTACCGCAAGCGGCACCTGGGGCCAAGAAGAGAGAAAGTTATCCGGGTAAACAGAACGCACGTGAGTACGGTCAATACACATGTAGCTTCCTCGCCTTGCCGGTGGCGGCCATGAACCCAACGCAAACAGAGCCACGCAGAAGCATGCTTTGTGCACGGACTAGCTGGCGGTCCGTGAGAGAAGGCCATCTCTTTGAACCTCAGAATACAGGCTGATCTGGGACTCTAGGCAGGCACGCGGTCATTGCTACCACTACTTTGTTTTCATATCCTTTTCTTGGCAAAAAAATAATTTTTTTTAGGCAAGGGCTTCACATTTTATTTCCCTAGCCACTAGGACGTGACCATGATCCATTCCTAATCCTCCCCTCCCCTTTCTCCCTGCTCTTTCCTACTTTCCTACTCCCACGCAAAGCGAGACGAGCTCTTTGTTAAGACCCTCTGTGTCTAATCCAGTTAGCCTCACTGACGCGGTTCCCTGCTGCCCTACCAGCCACACACCCCTATGGCAATAGGGGGCTTCTTCCCCTATTGCCCCCCCCCCCCCCAAACACCTTGCAGGGGCCTCTTCTAATGCCAATAATTTAAGGAACGAGTCAATTTTAAATTCATCTACCATTATATAATTGTCATTTTTACATCTTGTTAAATCCAACTCTGAGCCTTCTACGTTTCTTTCTTAACACCGAATCAATCAAACCGACTTTAAATGTAAAGCCTTCTCCCCCGCCCCCCCCATAACGTCTATTGACTTTGGTATCTCAGCACTTAAAAATGAATAAGGAATTCCTCAAACAAGTTTTTCAAATACAGAACTGTGGGAAGGAAAAGATCAAAGAACAATAATAAGCAGTCTAACCTAATAAGTTATATTGATCAGTAAGCTGTATCTCTTCCCCATCTGAAAATGCACTAATGAGAAGCAGCAGTGGTTGATCTTGAAACACTCTGAAACGGTGATAGGCTCATATAGAAAGTTAATGAAGCAAAGGACATGCCTCAAATGCTGTGCAAAAATAATTCTGCCAACTTCTTTGGTTTACTAATTAGTAATACATTTTGTATCTTGGAGCCCCAAGAAGGTCTAAATGACTGAGACATTAATATAATGAATGGAAAAGAAGCAGGGAAGATAATTTGTCCCTATCGACCTCGAATGAATAAAAGCATCTGACTAGAGTTAGCCCATCTCAGCATGTACTGGAGCTGAAGCTAAACCTGACGTAGGACCAATGTCAAAGATAAGAATTAAGAGCCAAAGAGTAGGTCATAACCACTAGCAGTCAACCAAGGGGGGGGGTTTAGGTATATTTAAGGACTCTGGAGGTCTTGACGGATCAACAATTAACATTTACCTGGTGCCTGCCCGATAGGTCCCTGTTTCCATTGTATTGCAGCAAAAATACACCAGAGTATTTTTTAGCATATGTTTGCAACAACAGTTACAAGTTCACACAAATACGAATTCCACATAAAACTTACCATAACTTCCGGTCACGTTGGCACATATCACAGCCCCAAAGAAGTTTGGAAAATACTTCTGAATTCTTGAAACCACTTTCCGGCAAGCTACGGTCGGATCTTCTCCTCCTCTCATATACTCTACAGCCTGGTAGCTGGTTTAAACAGAGGCGAAACTTAAGCATCACAGAACAAAGTCCAAGGGTGTTAACGCGAAGTTAAGACACCTAAAACCATCCGAGCTGTCACATGTGTGATGAAATACATACAGAGAAGTTGGTAGCACCTGTGAAAGCATCAACACGAAAGGAAGTAAACCTTGACCCCATGTCTGTCTTTTCAGCTAATCTGTCCCTCAATTTCAGATGAGGACTATTATCTTCGGCTCTGGCTGAGTAACTGCTACCCAGTAACAACAGCCAGAAGTGATAAAAAAAAAAAAAAGGGTTCTATTTAAACAGGAAATGGGGCTACAATCAGTGGGGGAAGTACTGGGCATGTGCAAAACATCCAGTCGTAATGATCATCTTTCAGTAATTAATTGCACACCGTGACTGACTTCCCCGCTTTTATCGCCAATTATCACCCTTCCTTTACTCAGTGGCCTTGCATAAATTATTTAAATGCATCATAAGTGTTCTCATCTGTGAAGTAAAGCAAGAAATATTCTATTTCAGAGGACAATGATTACTTAATTTAAATTATCATCAAAAATGATAGGTGGAGAGTGTGGAGGTAGGATTTCTAAGCAGGGCTGGTACCCACAAAATCAGACTGCGTGGCACAAACCATCACTTTCTGTCTTGACAGACAACATCTCCCCTAAGGATCTCCAAGGGTCAGAGATGTGAGGACTCACACCTTGGTAGAAAGCGCATCAGGATGTCCCCATCCCCAGTGGCCGCGGCTGCTCCTGCGGTATCATCGGCATAGGCACCAGCTCCAGGTATCGGTGAATCTCCGACTCGACTGTGTGAGGGCACAGCACAGTGATTTAGGACAGGAGACCAAGAGTGAATTCACACACTGTTTTATGGGAGGTTTCCACAATAGGGGATGTTTCTAATTTGCCACTCAGGATCGTTTTAAGTAAATTCTTCATCAGAACACACAGATCAAAGGTTTTCATTAGTTTTTCAGCTAAGGTTTCCATAAACCTAATTATGTAAGAATTGGATACCAGTTGGTTATATATCAGGACGGCACAGATTTACAGTGACTGTTCAATTATTACTATCCTTTATCATCAGATTTCTGGATTATCTCAATAGGTTCAAACTGGTTTTCCTCATCTATAATCTACTCCTGCTTTCTATCTGATGTGCCAAAATTTTACCAAGGTTTTTCCTTGTAATAAACCTTCAGTGTTTTTCTGCTATTTTAAAACAAAATCCAGAAATCTTTAAAGTGACTCAGGACTCTCTGAAATCTGGCTCCGGTCCTCCTCCCAGGTACCGGACATTCATGCTATTTCTCTCCCCTCCAGGGGGAGCCCTGATCTCGAGCGTGTACTACTCAAGCTCCCTTCCCCTCCTGAGGCTCAGGCTCAGCCCCCAGGATCTCTCTGCTGGTCTCCCCAACTGCCTGCCCTGCTTACTCAGGCACCACTCCCATCCCTGAGCTCCGCAGCACTAGCTGTGACGCCCACTCCTGTGGCACTTAGCACGTACTAATTTATTTTCGTTCACATTTACTTATCTCAGCTGTGAGGGTAGGGTTGTGCTTTATGTTTTGCATCTCCCATTAGCACCTTGCACATATTGGTTTACACTCAATACATATTTGCGAGATCTGTTCTTTTCGAAACACTAACCCATGTATTTTGAATTTTATACCATTTGTAGATGTACCAGCAGCAGTACGCCCCATCTTATGGACTACAACCATGCCTAGAAGTTAAAAAAAAAAAATCATTGCATCAACTCTGAGGTTTACCTCAAGTATAAAGAAATAATTGAACTGTTGGTAATATAAATATCCTCATTCATTAATTTCAGGTAGAAGAAAATAGGAAGCTCAGGAATACTGAAACTTATACTGGCTGTGTCATTTGTACTGTTTCAAAACCCAGTGTCAGCATCATTTGGTAGACTTTCCATATCCTTACTCTTCAAGTTACTCAGTTACCTTTAAAAGGTAATTCCAAAAAAAATCACTGATATAGAATAAGGGAAATTTTCAACATTATAGCTCAGATATGGCAAACAACATAAAATTATTAAAGAACTAACTACACATCAAATAGGGGCACCTGACTGGCTCAGTCAGAAGAACATGTGACTCTTGATCCAAAGGTCCCGATTTTGAGCCCCATGTTGGGTAAAGAGATTACTTAAGTTAATGAATAAATAAAAACTACAAAAAAAACCCAACCAAATATCAAATAAAGATTTAAATATCTACAAGTGGATAATCACTAGATTTTAGGAGCCCTGTATAAAGTAATTTACCAAAATGTAAATAGATGTGATGAAAAGAATGTGTGTGCACGCTTATTTAGCAGTTAAAACAGTTAAAATCACCATCTGGCACTGTAAATAGGGATAAAGAAGTTAAGAACTACAGGAAGGCCATTAAAAATGGCCAAACTTTGGGGCACCTTAGGGGCTCAGTCAGGTAAGCCTCCAACTCTTGATTTCAGCTCAGGTCATGAGCCCAGGGTCGTGGGATCGAGACCTGCATTGGGCTCCGAGCTGAGTGTGGGGCCTGCTTAAAATTCTTTATCTCTATCCCTCTGCCTCCTCCCCAGCTCACATGGTCTCTCTCTCTAAAGTAAAATTAAAAAAAAAAAAAATGGCTGAACTTTAACCATAAAAGTTATATAAAAGGCAAATTACCAATTGTATCATGACTGTAATTATCTCCTGTCTCTTTATAGGTAGGACCATCTTGCTTTAAGATACTAGGTGGTTTGTAAGGTCCACAGTATTTTGAAGCATCTGGCACAACATTCTGCAAACAAGATTTAAGTTTTATTTTTTAGGAAAGTTCATTTTAGAAATTGGCAAGCAGTTCCATACAATAACTAAACATGAGCAAGAAACCAAAAGGATGTCTGGTAACAGAAAGCTATGAATTGAAAACCAAAGATTAGCTGAGTCTTATGTGAAAAGATAGATATAATTCTATTTAATACCTAGTCTTATCTCAGAATTACATAACGTAGAATAATAGACACCTATGTCTGGAAACGATCCCTGATTTTTCTCTCTCTACGGCTAAAGTTCTCAGCACAGTGGCAGATACAAATGAAGATTTTTTTTTTTATTAGATCTTAATCCTCAAAGGAATCAGGTACACAGCCCTACCTTTAAATTTCAGAATCTGTTCCCTGGCCAATGAAGAATTCTGAGATTTAAAGGAAAATCTATTTTAAAAACCTTTATTTCTGGGGCTCCCGGCAGCTCAGACGGTTAATTAAGCATCTGACTCTTGATTCCAGCTTCGGTCACGATCTCATGGTCGTGAGATCAAGCCCTGCATCCAGCTCCATGCTGATAGTGTGGAGCTTGCTTAGGATTCTCTCTCTCTTTCTCTCTCTCAAATAAGTAAATAAACTTTAAATAAAAAAAAACCAAAACCCTTCTTTATTTCAAAGCTACGTTTGTGTGAACATATTCTAAGTTGTACTTGTAGATTCCTCTGTGGATCACAAAGACACAAGAAAATAATCCAAATCCATTAATTTAGGTTGTATATGTGGATTAGTATTTGATCAAGAAACCTACTACCTATGTCTTACTCATTAGCACACTTAGTGCCTCCCCTGACCTGGTTTTATCCATTTGCCGCTTTTAGATGCTAACTAAGCCCAGAGACTTCTTAGTTACTCAAACGTAATTAGAATTTGGGGGAAGAAACAGATGAGACCAAGGCAGTCCACAGAAGGGTTCTGGATGGCAAAGAAAACCTGAGTTATGCTCAAAGTCCCAGTGATTTAAGGATAAATTATCCCGGCAGTAACACACTAGACACCAAATAGTATAGATCCAGTCAAATAAGGGTAAGATAAGGGGTATACTCCACATAGACAAAATGTAAGACATATTCTAGATGAATGATTTCCAAACTTTGATTTTTTTTAGACTTGGAACCTTCTGTCACAAGGAAATACAAGCAGAGCAGGTCTGACTGAGGATGCCCCCTCTTCCTGCGGCACATCCGTCAGTTTGAAAGCTACTGCAAGGAACCAGGAGTTTTCCATCAGAGATGTGCATGAGAAGCAGCTAAGGAACGTTCATGAACATCCATGCCCACAGAGTCACCTTCAGTCATTGTTTCTAAAGTGCAGCCAGGGTGATAACCAGCACCTTAGGCAACAGAGGGCAGACAGGATGTCACTGAGTATTTTCTAATGATCTGCTTGTAAGAATTATGTCTACATACCCTCCAGTAATTTGGCTGGCAATTCCGAGCAAGCCAATCTGAATGAAGGGCTCGGGAAGTATTGGTAGATAAATCCTCACTGATAAAGCCCATACTCTCAGCAAACTTGGTGGCTGGAGATTAGGAAGAGAAGGAAAATGTACATTAGTTAAGCACGGTTTTCTAAACAAAACACATGTACGTGGAGTGTTCTCAGCGTTCTCTTAAGTGGGGTATACCATCCTGGGTCGCACAAAGACTTTCAGAGCAATATTCAGACGGGAACGGTGTTAAGGCAGTTTCAACTGATCTTCTTGAGACCCTGGGGTGCGTATGGTAACAGTTGTCTGTTCCACCCCCTTCACGATCCACCTTCCTGTACATCACAAAAGCGAAAGCACCCCGCTCACCGACACAGAATCTTACTGTTCTAACTAGGGCGCCATACCCAGTGTTGAGACCCCACACAAGGGGCCAACTGGATTCTATGTGTGAGTAACAAACAGACCTTTTTGTTTGTCAGGCAGTTTTTAATTCTGGATTTCCGCACAAGTGAAGGACGCCTACTGGAGTTATTAGCTAATACAACATTAAAAACCGTATTTTGGGGGGCACCTGGGTGGTGCAGTCAGTTAAGCATCCGACTTTGGCTCAGGTCATGATCTCACAGTCCATGAGTTCGAGCCCCATGCCCAGCTCTGTGCTGACAACTCAGGGCTGGAGCCTGCTTTGGATTCTGTGTCTCCCTCTCTCTCTGCCCCTCCCTCCCCCCCCCTCAAAAATAAACATTAAAAAAATATATTAAAAAAAGTATTTTGGTGGTGCCTGGGTGGCTCAGTTGGTTAAGCATCTGACTCTTGATTTCAGCTCAAGTCATGATCTCACAGTGAATGAGTTTGAGCCCCACATCGGGCTCTGTGCTGACAGCGTGGAACCTTCTTTGGATTCTGTCTCCCTTTCTCTCTGCCCCTCCCCTACTTGCTCTCTATATCTCATCAAAATAAATAAAAATAAACTTAAAAAATGTTTAAAAAATTTTTTTAAAGTGTATTTGATTATAGATCATGGTATGATTTTTGGCATATAACTTGGAAGACATTCAAGCAAGGGACAAAAATACACTGTGGCCCATCTTTTGATGTTAAGAATGCTCTGCGCTCTGTGCAACTAGTTTAGGAGGAGAAATGATGTTGACTCATATTTCCATCCAGCAATTATCTCTCCATACATAATGAGCTAATTTTTAAAACCCTATTTTACAGATGAAGACAGTGTGAATTTAGAAGTAACTTATCTGATGGTAAATAGATGTTAAGCAAAACAGCTAGAATTTGACCTTGCGTTGGCTTTTATCTACTATTTTATATTTTCACAGTGAGGAATATAGACAAAGGACTAGATGAAGTTCCAGTGTAGCTAAAATATACCTGATTCTCCCACTAAAAGCGTGTGTGCTGTATGTTCCAGAACTTTCCGTGCCACACCAATAGCGTTTTTAATTCGTCTGAGACCTCCCACTGCTCCTACGTTCATTGTAGTGCTGCAAGAAAAGAAGCACAGTAAGATTTATTAAGGTACTTTCTCAGGTTCACAGATAAAAACTACATTGATTTACTCCAAGCAATAGCTTTGTAGGATAAACTCCACTGTCTTAACGTAATGATGATACCACATCCATGAAGTGCATACAAATTCCCATGATCAGATAAATTAAGGAATAGCAAATCAACCTACAGCATACTCCAACAGCACCACAATTCAAAGTTCCTCCTAGCTTTTTTGTTGTTGTTACTTTTGAGATAGCGGAAGCGGGGGAGGAGCAGAGAGCGAGGGGGACAGAGGATCCAAAGCGGGATCTGCACTGACAGCCCCAAGCCCCATGTGGGGCTTGAACTCACAAACTGCGAGATTATGACCTGAGCCAAAGTGAGACACTCAACTGACTGAGCCGCTCAGGTGCGCCCCCCTCCCCCCACTACCTGACTTTTAAACATGGCTTCTAAAGAGTTTTAAGGCTTCAGGTCATGCAAACCACACCGTACATAGAAGTCAGTTAAGTGATTGTTTACCACGTCTAGAGACGTATTTCTGTAGTGTGGGATTCTATGTGTTCTAAGGAGACTACTGCATCCATGTGAAATTTCTATTATTCTAATGACTTTCTCTTAACTTGTGTTTGGAAAGGCTGGGCACCATAAGCTAGGGGTTCTGACCTGATGAAACTTACGTATTCGTCCGTCTTGCTCTCAGTAGAAGCAAGTAGATCAGAAGACCGATCAGTGTGACTCAACATGGGGTGAAGATTTCTTACCCGTCCATGATCATGGCATCCAGTGTGGTCTCTCCAAGTTCATCAGGACTCCCTCCAAAGCCCACGGTACCGTCACACTGTTCCCTCTCACACACAGCACAGCCCTGCTCAACTGCATCCAAGGGAGAGCCTCCAGATGCTAACGTCCTCCACGCTGTTAATCAAATCCCAGAAGTGCTGGTTTATATATTGATTTTTTTTCCCAATGCCAAATGCAACAAACCAGAAATGTTTTGAGCACTCATCTAAAAAAATATTTTCATGTTTACCCTTAAACAGAATTTTACTTTATTAAGTAAATGAGTGATACAGACAAATTGTATAATGCAACTATTTACTGTGAAGAATTTAAACACTATTGATGTAAAGTGAGGGTTTTTTATTTTTTACCTACTAATATTTCTATGCTGTGTAAGAAATGTCTTCTCTCCTTCAATTTTATAATTGAAGGCACTAAAAGGCAGTTAAATTGAAAGTTCATTAAATCACGGGCTTATAAATTTCTTCTATATCATTAATTATTAAAAATATACACAACGAGGACTTTTATTAAGGTAACATCAATCATGGCAAGTCTCAATAACCACTTCCTAACAGCAAATAATTACAATGTGGGCTTCACAGCGTTTAATCCATTTAATCTGCACAATAGCTTTTCAGGTAAGTACTGTCCAATTAGTCTCCTCACTTTAAGTTGGAGCAAACAGACCCAGACAGGTTAAGGAACTTGTTCAAGGTCACACAACTGGAACAGGATTCAAAAGCCATTTGGGCACTGCTTTGTTCTCTGGAGCCCCGTACCTTGGCAAGGGGTGGAAAGATCTTTGGTGGTCAATGTCTTACTAATAAAAACAGAACTCTTTGAAGGGAAGGTGCTACTATGGGTCATTTTTAAGCATTAGCTACTGGACCTACAGAATTGAAAGTGTATTTCAAGAAGTTCCCCCTTTCACTACAGAGAACCTTTGTATGTCCCCTGCGCTGGCCACTGCACTTTTTCTCTCATCATGGCTTCAAGGCCAGGAATTTCTTTCTCACAGCCTGTTTCCGCCTTTTCTGAATCAGATGCACTGCCTCTAACACCCAAACTTATGTCCGCCAAGCTCTGGAGCCACTTCTGCCCCAGTGAGTTGTACCAGCAGCCTCAGACGGCGCGGGGAAAGGAGTCGGAAATTACTCTTGGGGTAGTAGGTCTTGGAATGAATGAGACAAACATATGCAATCCAATGAATAAATGACAAGTTCATGGCATGGACAGGATTGAATGAAAGCACAGTAGATAGGCACCTCACGCAGACTGGGCATTAAGAGCAATAAATCGCGAAAGAGGTGATAGCTTAGTGGTTCTCCATCTTAGCTGCAAATCAAAATCACTTAGAAAGCTTTAAAGGAAACAAAATAAATGTCTTGTTGCCAGCAGTTAAATCAAAATCTCAGGAGGTAGGGTTCAGGCACGGGAAGTTCCACAGATGATTTTAATGGCCAACCAAGAATGAAACTCTACGGCAGGTGGCAAATACACAATGTCAGCACAGAACACCAGAAAGTAAATGTAAAAAGGGTCTGTATGGGAAATTAATAGCCGTTTGCAAAGCTGCACTTGAGCTCATGGTATTGGGGAGATCCGAGGGGCTAGAAAGGTGAAGTAGAACAGTAGACAAGAGACAGCCCCCCCCCCCCCGCCGTGACAGCAGTATGGATGTCAGGCAAGACCGCGTAGGAGCCCGTGGAGGAGTCCCAGCAGAAAGGCCCTAACTGCTGCGGGTCAGGCAGCAGCAGGGCGGAAAGCATGGGGGCGCGGGGCTGAACAGAGGCGGAATGCGAAGTGGGGACGTAAAAAGCGGCTGCGGGCAGGGAGGACTCCGTAAGGGTCCAGTGCAAGAGGCGCAGCGGTGCAGGAGGTGCAGGAAGGCCCGGAGGTGAGGCTCCGGTCCCCGCCCAGGGGTCAGCCCGCCGGCCGCAGCCCCCGCCCCCGGCCGCCGCCGCGCACCTGCTTCGGTCGCGTTCCTAAAGGGCCAAGTGTTGAGGACCAGGGGCAGAGGGCTGGAACTGCGCGCGAGGCCTGGGCCGAGCAGGAGCGGCACTAGGAGCAGAGGAAGGCTCCACTTCCGCGCCATGGCCGCGCGCCCGGCGGAGAGAGGCCCGCGCGGCCGCTGAGCCCGCGGGGCCGCGCTCGCGGAGCTCGTGATCGGCCGCGCCCCGCGCCCCGCCTCCCGCCGCCGGACTCGGCGGCTCCCTCTGGGGCGCGGTCAGGGCTCCCTCTGGTCTCGCGAGATTGGCCGCCGCGGGACCGCCGAAGCCGCGGAAGCCGCGGCACCCCCGGAGGTTCCTGGCCTGGGGGCGCTGTGGCTGGGTGCTCGGGGACCCTTCAGGTCCTCCGGGGTTTGTGTTTTCTTCGAGTTGACCGAATGATTGCCGTCCCCGTTGGTAAAGGCAGACTGAGTCCTGTGTTGAGAAATCAGTATGAAATTTACGCAGCCCGCGGTTGCGTGGCCCTGGGAACATTTTCATTGGCTTTAACCTTATTCTTTACATTAAAAGCTGAAGTCGACAAATTTCCAAATTCAAAATGTACTCCAGGATCCCTGGCCTCAGAGATCTGCGGAGGCTATGGCGTAGGGGTGAATCACGCTTGCTGAGAACCACAGCTCTTTGCAGGATGTGCTGTCATAAGTCGCTGAGCCGGAAGAAGCGGAGACGAGGGTTCACCGAAGTGCACCCTCCCCGGGGTTCAGGGCAAGAAGGGCTCCCGTTTCTAGTGTCTTCCACCTTGTGCCTGACACCTTTAAGTGCTAAATGCACGTTTGAATAAAGGTGGAATGGAGACTTGCCATTGTTAAAAGAGAAACTGAAAAGGGGTGCCTGGGTGGCGCAGTCGGTTAAGCGTCCGACTTCAGCCAGGTCACGATCTCGCGGTCCGTGAGTTCGAGCCCCGTGTCGGGCTCTGGGCTGATGGCTCAGAGCCTGGAGCCTGTTTCGGATTCTGTGTCTCCCTCTCTCTCTGCCCCTCCCCTGTTCATGCTCTGTCTCTCTCTGTCCCAAAAAATAAAAAAAAAGAAACTGAAAATAGTAAAGATTTTGAAAACTATTTTTAAGTAGACGTGCTATAAAATGTATTGTTGAAAAGTTCATTGGTAAAGTTTTACTTACATCTTTTTAATAGGGGAGGCTTGGGGGATTGATAAAAGGGATAGGTGGCCTTTGAATTGTTTCTGGAGCCGCATTTCTTGTCAAGACTTAATTTGTAAGACAGGTACAGCTGTATTTAATTCCTCAAAGACTTGGGTTGCATCCCGAATGAAGTCACTTGGCTGACCCACGCATTCAAATCTATTACGGCCACTTTGCATGTTTATATCAGGGAGAATATTTTCAGTTGAGATGGAAATCAAAGCATTCCTGTCTTCTAGCTTTAGAGCTGTGTGTCTTTGCAATGTTTTAGTAAATGCTTCTACAAGGGCTTCATAATGTTTTTTCTTTCCCTTTGGGTACGTAGCTTCATTTTAGCTTAGGGGACAAGGCCTTAAAAAGTTTTTTTTTTTTTTCAGTTTATTTATTTATTTTTTGAGAAAGAGAAGGCTTGCAGGCACTTGCAAGCATGAGCAGGGGAGGGGCTGAGAGAGAGGAAGGGGCTCAGCACAGAGCCCAAAGCAGGGTGCACACCCAGGAACTGAACCGTGAGATGGTGACCTGAGCCAAGACCGAGAGTCGGACGCTCTACCTACTGAGCCACCCAGGCGCCCCACCTAAAAAAGTTTTTATCAAACTCTATCAATTTCCAATTTGGCCACCTTCTGACTTTAAAAAGCATCCTTTTGAATATCTTGTCAGGCTTCAGGTGAGACAAATAGTAAATGCTCCCTGAAGGTATGGAACAACCCTTTTCATTTAAGAGGCGTCCTCAGAGAAGGTTTAAAAGTTCCTACCCTACCAAGAGCAGAGCCACTCTCAAAGATAACCGGGAGAAATAAAGACAATTTTCCTGAGGGCCGACAGCAATCAGTAGCACCACAGGCACAAATGGAGTGCAACCCCCATTTCTGCATGGCCATATTTCTGGGCGCCCAATCCTGACAGGTGCCAAGCCAAGTTCTCCAGACACAAAATGAGACAAAGAAGAATGCAACAGCTGTCCCTGGGAAAGAAAGGATTGACAGCCAGAGGGCACCTAAAAGCAAATTCATGTGTCGCAATTCAAAGATCTAATTCTTCAAATGTTTTTTGCCTGCCAATCCGAATTTGGAAAGGAAGGGACAGAGTGGACTTTTACCTTCCTCTCTCAACCAGACACCCCAGACGGAGGTCTGGGAGAGCTGACCCTGGTAAGAATTCTTGCCATTTGCCAGCTGCTGCCAGTTTTCCCGGGATCCTGTGTGTAGGCTGCAGAGGGAGTGGGGTGTCCTACAAGTCTCCTCCTGGTCCCCAGAAACTGTAGAGGAGGAAAAATAATTTTCCTCCCCGCCTTATGGTAGTGTTTCACCAAGACCCCTTTCATTCTAGGGCACTTCCTAAAATGGGTAAGTTTATCTAAAGTGATTTAAAGTTCTCCATGGTGGCCACTGTAATTCAAGATTAGTTTTGGTAAGTTTAACCTGCTTGTTGAGACTTAAAATTTTACTCACCCTCACCTCACGCTGGACCTGGTCCAGCTTATGCCAGACCCACAGCACTCCGGCCAGTTTAGGACCTGGCTCAGTTTCCGACTCAGACCCGGTCCGGTTTCACAGGAGCACCTGGCCCGGTTTCCGAGTCGGACCCGGCCCAGTTTCTAAGGAGCACCCGTCCTGGTTTTTAAGCCAGAACCCATCTAGGTTCTAGGTCAGACCTGAGCGGGAAAAACAAACCAGCAGATGAAGTCTGAAAGCTCCTAATGCAAATGCTGCCAATCCCAGTGGGACCCAGCCAGCACCCCCAGATCCCAGCAGGACCCAGCCAGCACCCCCAGAGGCAACAGGAAAGCAGCGAGCTCCCGGGACTCACAGGTACCTTCACCTGGTTGCTTGTTGCTCCCTGGGTTCTCTCTTCCCGCCCCAGAACTGTTAAGACAGAAACAGGCCTACTGACAAATTCAAGAGTTCCTTTGAGCAAAGTGGATTCAAATCGGGCAGCATCCAATCTAGCAGATAGAAGGGAGCTCCACGGAGCTGCACAAAATGAAAGACTTCTATAGGGAGAGCGAGACGGAAACAAGGAAGTTACAGTAGTCCAAACAGTGGGTTAATTCCTACAAGATTACTACTTTCTTTTTGGGGGTTGGCCGGGGACCATCAGGCAGATTACCTGCTCATCATGAGATTCCTGATTGACTGGTTTAAGGTTCTGTTTCTGGGAGAGCCAAAACTGTAAGTAAGTCTTGTCTTGGTGACTAGGCCTTAGCATAAACAACTCCATTTTTAGATCCGTTGCTTTGTTTTTAGCATCATGCATGGTAGACGTTGCTTATTTTTGATAGTGTAGTTGTCTGGGCCCTATGCGCCAACACGAACCCATAATCCCTTGGGGGCTCTGGAGTACCTGATCCTGTTGCCACAGGAAGCCCCGTGATCAAATGCTTTTGACAAACATTTTTACAAATTTCTCCATACTTTTAAAATATTCACTTAGTGGGAGTTGTGAAGTTTCCAAATCTTCAAGGCTTCATTGCTGTGAAATAAGACACAATTTAAACAGCACAAAATAGCCTGGAAGAATTATTGCAAGGCAGGGAAGTGCTGTTAATTAAAGGTAGGTGCAATTGAGGAGAACTGATGTAAACTTCTGTGGGATTTTTTGGGGGGGGGGGGTGTTTTTTTGTTTTGTTTTAATTTTTTTAATGTTTATTTTTGAGGGGGGGGTGCTGAGTGTGAGTGGGGGAGGGGCACAGAGAAAGAGGGAGACACAGAATCCGAAGCAGGTTCCAGGCTCCGAGCTGTCAGCACAGAGCCCCACATGGGGCTGGAACTCACAAACCGTGAGATCATGACCTGAGCCCAAATCAGACACTTTACCAACTGAGCCACCCAGGTGCCCCTCTGCTATGTGATTTTGGAGGAGGAATAAGTCATCTGTGCTGGTGTAATCAGGGTAAATGTGAAATTTAAAAGAGGGGATGAAACAGAATAAGAAAGCAAGGAAAACATATATCATGCATTTATTAATTTTCATTAGCACCCGAACTGAGCCTTAGTATTTTTGATACCTCAGGAGCCAGGGCAAGACTTCAGCAAAAAATTATGTAATATAATATGTTATATAATAATACATAATATATTATATAATATAATAA